GCTTTGTCCTGGGGGGGGGAGGCAATCTGCCTAGGTTGCAAAAAAACCAGCGCGGAAAACTGGCGGGGGAAAGGCTCAGCTAATGTTGAACCTCTTCTCCATTCACAGCAAAAAAAAAGCTATGAATTACAAAGAGATCCTAACGACTGACCTCCTCTCTGCCCCTTTCTGCCAGAAAGGGGAGATATCCACAGATCTTATAAGATATACGAACCAGAGTCCTGGCAGGAGCTTCGTTGAGCTCCCGACGGCGGCAGGCTCCACCCCCCGAAGCCTTGTGGTAAAGACTTTTGTGGACCCCTTCATAGTGTTCAACTGGTTATACCAATGCTGATTCATCTTCATTGCATCAGCCTTACATTTCATCAGCTTTACAGTTGCATTAGCTTTACAGCTGATCAGCTCTTAAATCTCATTACCTTAACAACTTCATTTAAAATTTCTTGACTTTGAATGACTTCTAGAAGCAGCAATGGTGAGACTAGACAGTAGGATGATGCAAAATATGTCAGCTATGTCCAAATATAAGAGTCAGTTTGGAATTATCCAGGTTTTGGTAGAATTTGTGAGGGATTTCTTTCTTTCTTAGAACATTAGGTCAGCTTAAACTTAAAATAGTGGGAAATGGTCAATTTCTCACCAAGGATAAGAAATAAATCTCTACAGCACTTCAGATCTGAAGACAAAAAGTGTTTTGGGAGTATTCACATGGAACCAGTCCTTTATGGATCCTTTCCTGATATCTCACAGCTTTCCTCCGTAGCTACGTTTTTTTCTAAGAGGAAATATGTAGTTGGTTCAAGGAGTTGCAAATAAATTTTTTATGTACTATGAAACAGCTTTTTTCCCCCTTTCGGTCCAGAATGTTTCTGCACATTAGAGGTGGGTTGCAAATTCCGGCGCTATTGGTTCACTCGTGCTGGCACGCACAGAAGTGTCTGGGCAGGTGGGCGGAGCCTCCCACTGCTACTACCGTTTCGCCCCATCCGGGCCGAACCAGGAGCAACCCACCTCTGCTGCACATCCCTAGTAAGGAGGAAAGGGGCTTACCTAACAGCTTCCATAGCTTGGTGCTATGGAAATAGTCCAAAGAAGCACTGCACTTCTCCAAACCTGCAGTCACTGCATTTCTCCAGATCTGAAGGCATGGTCTCGGTCTTTCAATAGATTCCCTTGTTTCCTGCACATTCATGTGTCTGCATAGAAAACATATCCATTGAGATATCCACACAGGCAAAGGCAAAGCTGCAGAATTAGAAACAGAAGATGAAAACAAGTCCTCAATGAGAAACAATCTCTCTCTATGTCAGAAGAGAGGCATTAGGATATGTGCAATCTTTAGTCCTCCCCAATACTGCCTGGTAGAGGAAGTGCATTTCCCTGCTCCCTCCTCAGTTTGGACGCCTATGGCTTGTAGGGGTGGGGCAACTGAGATGTGAGGATATCCAAAGATAAGAGGGGAACAAGACTCCTGCTTTGGATAGTTGCCACACCGCTTCTATTATGTCTAAGTGCTGGGCCAAAAGGTCTTTTATTGGAACATGATTTCACCCTGCCTGTCTAGGACACATGTTGTGACTATATGGGACAATACATTTAGCGCTGTTGTTATTACTGTGCTTCTTTCATTCCTTGAATGAGATCATCAGCTGAATGAAGACAAGCTGGCTGGAACAAAGCTCAGACAATGGGGGTGGGAGGGAAAGTAGGAGAGAGGAAAGGGGAATAATGACTATTTTTATGGCCAGTATCATTTTCACTAGACAGCCTCTATCCACTATTCAGCTCCAGCGATTTTACATTCTCAAGATCCTTCTGGATTTGTCTTTGATTCTGCTACCTAATCAGCAACAGCTGCTAAAAGCATTTTCTGATTTTTGTGGCCAAACT